CGTAATTGGTTCATGTCCTAGACAGTCTTAAGTACCAGGCTGGCTAAATGTGCCTTGAAACGTCAAGGGTACCTGTTTTAAAATGAACAACGAAAGAGATCACATAACGTAGTTCCGAAAGACTCTGGAACGGATCCGAAGATATTATTTCTGGCAGTACTTTCGGATGTGAAAAATAACATAAACTTCTTTACTCAATTGAATTAGTCGAGGTTAGAAAAGCCAGTAGGAACGCAGACATTTTGATCAGTTACTCTGCCTTTTCAACTGTGAACATCAAACGTAATGCGCAAAGTATTTTGTATTTTGATGTGTATAATGCGGGCTACATAAACCTATAAATTTGCCAGCAGTTTACAGTCTGTTATATTTGAATATAAGTTGCCTTTATGAAATTTCTTAACTGTCTTATATCATTTACCATGGTCTGATTAAGGTCTGGTGTGGAGTTGTTCCCTATGAATTGGGATCTGAAATTAGCACACGCTGGGCATTGGCAGAGAAAATGTTCCAATGTTTCGTCACCTTTCCCACATGCCCTGTATATGCTGTTTTCTGCACATCCTATCTTGTACAGATGAGCTTGTAGGCCCAGGTGCCCCGTAAGGTTGCCTATTACCTCACTAATAAAAGGTTTTTCGTTTTTATCTCATCTCGATCGACCCAGAAGATTTTTGTGGTTTTCTCTACACCCTCATTGTTCCATAGGGATGTGTGGGCGTTTTTTGCCCATGTCTTTAACACTAGACGTGACGCATTGAGCGGCACTGGATTGCCTACGCTTATTGTTGCTAATTCCCTGCCTGTTTTGGCGAGAGAGTTTGCTATCTCGTTACCCCTAACTCCCGTATGACCTGGTACCCATATAATGCGTACTACGCCGTGTTGAGAGTAGTTGTTGATTGAATTTATACATACTAAAACAGTTTTTGAAGTTACTGTTTTGGATGTTATAGCCATTATAGCTGACTTGCTGTCCCGCTCTCTCCCTAGGCATTGAGCCGTCTGTTTAACAACAGTTTCCAGTCGGCATTTGTGGTAGGAATTCGTCGATCCACGAGTCTCTGGTAGGGATTAATGTTTCACATGAGGCAGCTACAAAAGTTTCAGATATCCGGTCCGATACAAAATTTTCTATAGATTCTCCCGTTGTTACCTGTAAAATTGTTTGATGGTATGTAGCGTGGTCTTTGTTTATCCACTCGTCCGTCGCCCTAAGCCCTAAGGCCACGACGGCTGCTTCATATCGTATCTTATTGGAAATATTGATCGTCTTGTTCAGGAAGACCGGTTCAACGATATGGCCCAGTTTTCTTTTCCTAGTGAACATAGACATATCTCAGTTTTTTCCGGGTTAACGTTAAGACCTCCCGGTCTGGCCCAAGTGTATGCAAGTTTCAGAGCCGACTCGGCCCATCTGCACAGCAAGTTAGGGTTCTTTCCCCTCAGAAGTATTATAACGTCGTCTGCATAACAGACTGGTTCAAAGCTTTCTTTGGTTAATGTCCTTAGAAGACTGTTAATGGTAGTAAACCACAGGAGGGGTGATAATATCCCTCCCTGTGGAGTTCCTTGACCAACTTTGTGCCTTATTTTAACGTTATATAGCCCACAGCTTATCCCTCTATTCATTAGCATGTGGTTTACCCAGTGTCTTAGGCCCCGGTCGACCTTATCTAAGGATTGGACGGGTGTATCTGTGCTGACATTGTTGAACGCACTTTCGATGTCAATGCATACTGCTAGTGTAAACATCTTCTTACCGAAGGTGCTCTCGATGTGGTGTACAACCTCATGTAATGCGGTTTCCAATGAACGTCCTTTAACGTATACATGCTCCTTTTATTTGAGAATATCGTTTGACTTATCGGTCGATAAGACTTGGGTATAACTGAGCTTGCCTTCCCAGGTTTGGGCATAAAAACTACCCTGGATTCTTGCCAGGCTTTAGGGGTATACGCAAACTTTAGGCACGAGTTGAAAATTCCGGCTAAGTTGGACGAGATAATGTCCACTTCCTTTTGGAGCAGAGTCGGGAAGACTATATCTGGTCGTGCTGCTTTAAACGGTTTGAAACTTCTGACGGCTTCCTTTACCATAGATTCATCAATTTTAGGTGCATCCTCAGTCGCAACCATATAATCCACCATTGTCTCGGCTTGTGTATGGGTTTTTGAAAGAAACTTTTTTATTTTTGAGACATCATTCACGCTATCATCCTATTCGCAGAAAATCTTCCAGGTGCTTCGTTTAACTGTTCTTACTATTTTGTTGTATTCTTTTAGTTTGTTATGGTAGCTGTCCCAGAATACTGCTGGTTTCTCTTTTTCTTTGTTACGAATTTCCCCTGTCATCCAGCGTTTTTCGTAGGCAGATTTCCTCTCCCGATGTGAACAATCTCTGTCTACGTCGTCTGTGCTTAGACATTCAATTTCCTGCCCTAGCTTCTCTTTTACTAGTCTCCTATACTTCATCCAGTCAGTCTGCGATTTGTTCCGGAAACGTATTGGGTTCGGCGGGAGCCCTGTTAGTTCAAACCTTATATACCTATGATCCGAGAAAAGGTGTTCTTCCGAAACCCTCCAATTCTGAATCTCGTTTATAAGATTTCCTGAACAAAAGGTAATGTCTAAAACCTCCTCTCTAATTTTGTTTACAAAGGTCGCTTTATTCCCAATGTTAAGAATTATTAGGTCGTTAGTATTTAGAAAATCTGGTAGGGACTGGGCACTTTTATTAATGTTAGTACTACCCCACGCAATGTGGTGAGAGTTAGCATCGCCACATACAAGTACTTCGTTACCAGTTTGTTATGTTTTGCTCACAAGCCGCTGCAGTTCCGATGAAGGTGGTAATGTCGGCGCGTCGAACGGTAGGTATACTGACGCTAGGTATATGTTTCCATTCCCCTGCCTAAGCACTGTTGCGTCCGATGTTGACAACTCTGGCGAAAAAAGTAAACATAAGTTTTTGTGACATTTATACAAGTTCTCGGTCAAGACCCTGTTTTGGCATAGAATAGTTAGTAGTTATTATGGTTTTGTCCAGAGACTTTGTTCTGAACTGTCCAAGGTTCCTGAATAAAACCAATGTGAATCTTACCTGAATTTATTAGTTTCATCAGAGTCAAGGTTGCCGTCCCGCTCCGATGAAGGTGGATTTGGAAGATCTCGATCATTGGTCCTCCAATATACGGGCTTGTTGAGAGTCGGTAATTTTGTCACCGACACCCTCCTTGTGTGTTGCTTGAGGGGTCATCTTTCTCCTCCTTGCTGCTACACTTCGTATCTTCGTCTCCTTATTATTTTTGAACCTGACAGCGTTCGAGACATAGAATGTCATACCCTTAGTCTTTGTCAGACTGGCCATGGAGAGATCGTCAACTCCAATCACATCCTCCTTCTCCTCCCTGTGAAAGACTTCCCATCTCTTCACATCCAAAGTCTTATTTTGCCTTCCAAAGACTTCGAGCATACGTTCCATCTCGAATTTGCTGCAAAATCCTCTGACGTATACCGTAAGCTTCAAGAGCACTTTTATTATTCTTCCGCTGCTCACGATAGGTATTGGATCTCCACCTTCCATGATGTCATCCAATATTTTCTTATTGACCATTTCCTCTAAAGCTTCCAAATGGTCTTTATGCAAGTTGACTAAACCTTTGTTGGTATCGGTCAATGCATAATGCATTTCGTCCCTCAAGTGTTTTTGGCTGTCTTTGCGTAAAAAGGCGGCTTTGTACCCTTTTCCTCGGTCCGTTTCCTCTTCTGTTGGGCCAGGGATTTATTTTCGGAAACCCCTGATTTAGCAGTAGATTTCACGGTCGTTCGCACCTTTCCAGTGCTTGCCTAACCTTGTCGCCCTCGGCTAAAGGATTCTTGTTACAGCCTATTTTGCGAGGACCTTGACGTAGTTTACCCGGTGCGTCTGCAGGTGGGTAGCTCTTTTTCGCCGGCTTCATAGAGCTCTGTCCTTCAAGGGACCTTACTTTCTTCCCTGCCTCCAACGGAGTGGGGGCAGTATTTGTAGCCCCCTTTGGAACATCCTGCGCCTTATCATTTTTGCTGTTTTGTTGTCTTTTGAGCTTTCGCCGTTGGGCCCAGACAGCTTCGCTGTCACTCACTTCTTCTATCGTGTTGTGCGCCTCTTCCTTAGTAGGGATTCGCAGGACGGTAGTTTTGTTGCTGCTGCTGTCGGACTCGGAACCTGCCATTGAAGGCTGGGTCGAGCGTATGCTTCCCCTGAGTTCCTCAGACCCTTTGTCTGGTTTGTTGCCCGGAGGCTGCGTGCTTGTAGCAATACCTTCGACCGCAGATGCCAAGGCACTCACATCTGCGGGAGAAATTTGCACACGATCGTTGGATGACGACAGGGTGTGACTCGTGGCTGGATCACAAACACCCGTCGGTACTGGGTTATTTGGCCCTGCACCGTAACTTTTTCTTTCTTTATTCCTTCTTCCATGTTGGTTTTTTTGTTTTTGGGGAACACCCCCGTAGTCAGTTTTTTGTCCGCGGGGAGTAAAAACTCCCTGGGACGGGTGATCACACTATTCCGCTCCACCCAGTTCGTAGCTAGACTCCATAGTTCGAGCAAAATAGTGTGATCATCCATCCCCCCTATCCGCCGTGCGGACGCGTCTTGTAGGTGAACTGACAAACACCCTCAGGTGAACTTAGTTGATGACGATTATTGTGATCTTGGAAATTGTTTGAAATGTGAATTGATACATTGTACGGTTACTGGAAATATTTTGAAGTAAAACTATTAAATGTGCGTAAACTAATAGATGTTGTTGTGCAACTTCAATGGGCTTTGATTATTAACTCTTGCAAAATTTAAATTTCGATAAAATATTAAATTGGATTTCTTATAGGACTCAGCCATATTCTAATTGACATAGGGGATAATTTTTGTACAGTGCTGTACCAGTTACATGCTAATGTTATTGTGCGTGCTAGTTTAAAAAATGGATACATGTCCATCAATCCGTTTTTTTTGTTACTTGGTATGTTAATTTTACAAAATGTTATCAACAAAATTGATTAAACTCTGAGCCAAAATTTTGATGTGAGATGCTTCTTTAACAATGCCATTGAGTGTTTTAGTGAACAATTGAATCTTTGTAACTATTCCCTGCAAATAATGCGACTAATTCATGCACGCGTCTAAAAAGTAGTCCATAACAGACCAGGGGTAGTTCAAAACTAATCCAAAATAGTCCATAGAGTACTTTTGCGCTTTTCTCTGAGTGTACATATTTTTAATACTGTTAATCTTACTTAGCACTTTAAGCTTAATATGATAAATAATAATTTATAGATTATTTTAATGTGAATTTAATATGAACAGCTACGAAATTATAACAGTTTTAACGATATATATATACAGAAAAAAAACAAGAAATTAAACAGCGTATTTGTGTATTGTATAAAACATATAAATAAGTAATTCAATTTGCAGGTACTTTTCAATGAAAAAAGGAAAGATAAATAATAAATTCTATTTAAAAAGAAAACTTAAATTATGCTCCAATTCACAGTTATACAATGTAATGAAAAAAAGTTAAAATTAATTTTTGTTTTTGATTTGGGATCAAACAACCCGGAAGTGCTTTTTTAAGAACTTGGAGTGCTGCTCGAAATTCCTTTTTACTTTTGGGGGAGTAGTCACATATTGCATCTGAAATAAAGACAGTCATTAAAACTAAATAACCCTTTAAAGTCAGAATACTCGGCAATAACAATTTTATATATTCTTTTAAAATCTATTAAGCATTTTTTCCTACAAGTTCCATACGTATGGTACATTATGCATATCTCTCGGGAAAAATGCGTTCGAAATTTTTTAATGGGTTGCCATCGATTAAATACTTTACAGCAGATATCTAAAAATGTTAAATCATGAAATATTAATCATGAATCATTAAAATTGAAGCATTTCAACATATATACAATATAATAGGCCAAAAATTACTTACATATTTTCCTTCATTCGAATCGCATATTTCACTCTCTACTTTTTGAAGATCTTCTTCGGATTTGAGGGGAAATTTGCTTATCAGGGTAGTTACATTTTTTGGGAACTATTGAGGGTTTGCAGCTGTATTTTGTGGTCTGCTAACATTTCCACTATTATTTTGTTTTGTTGTTCTGTTGTCACTATTAAATAAAGATCTATATAATAAAAATTAATGATGACGAAAAAACATTATGCTTTACTTTGTAATTTTGAGAGCTGTTGCTATATATTTTTTGTTCAGCCATTTTACTAGCCATTACTTGATTTTGAGTGTTGATCATTTCTATAAACTAAACAATTTTGTTAATAAAGAAGAAACACCATATTTAACAAAAACTACCTTTGAGTTCTATGCAAAAAGAGCATTTGTTTGGCACAGTCTGAAAAACATAGTAATATGGCTTTAGAAAATTTAAAAATATATATTATAAATTTACTTACAATTATAAAGTCTGTTGCAAGCATTTAGATGTTTTAGATTTCTGCCTTCCATTACAATTGTTGTATAATTGTGTAGACAATAACAGTTAGAATTGTGTAGATAATAAGTGTTGGCTATATTAAGAAAATTAGATTTTTTTTAGCTTTTTACAACTTTAAATGCAACTATGAAGAATTGGCATTAAAAGAACTTTATTTTTCAAAGGGCAATGATATTATTTTGTAGATAATGTTTTCAATATTAGATATTTCCTCTCTATCTTCTAATATCTTATCAGCAATAAATATACCTAATGCCGATAATGAGTCCAATGGCTCTTCAAAAATAAAACATAAATATTTTTGAAATGTCGCGCTATAAAAAATGTCATTATTTTCTCCTCTTTTGAACCCTGTAATTTTCAAAGGGGTAGACGGCGTTACAAGACAAATGTTGTCTGGTGTTTTAATACTCAACCAGTATTTATCACCTAAGTAACCATAAATAAGTCAATTTTTTCTTTTAACCCCATGTTTTTGGCTCTTCTTTTAAATTTCGACATTTCGTCTGTGTAATTGATTCAGGATATCAGTTGGTTTGCGAACATCTTTTTTTATCATTTGCAAGTGGTTCTCAAAACCATATGCTGAAAAGCTGTACAACAAACCGTGATGTTTGACGCATTCATATACATGAATCAAACTGTGCACATTATAGAAACGTTTTGAGGACCAAAAATGACACTGGAATTTTTAACAAAGAGTTTCAAAAAATCTTCCGCGTTATTTGCAATTTTTTTTGAACATGACAAAAGCCTTATTGCACAATGAAAGACTAAAAACGTGTAATAAAAGTCATCACCAATATGGTTTTTTAAGACTAAAACACCAGTGTACAATAAGTATTGATGAAATTTTGTAGCTTTCTAGTTTGCAAGTTCATCCAAACCACGAGGCATTCTTGTGAAGTCTTTAGTAATACATTTTTTTAATGAAACTAGTAACTATATATATTTCCGTTATTCGAAATTGAAATTTTTTCATTTACTTTATTTTTTACTGCTTTCATCAACATTTATATAGTTACCCCTAAATCAATAAAGTGCATTGGGTCTAAAGCCACTTGACTGATCATATTTAAATTTATTTTCTCCAATGGTGTTTTGAAAATGTTGTTGTTGTTGTAAATGTTGGTTGATGACGATTTTTGTATTTCCTTTTAGCAAAGTCATCATCGTCTATAATTGTACATCTTTTTTTGGCCACTTCGGTACATTTTGAACAATCATTTGCAGATGAATGGCGAGCTATCCCACAAACGAATGATTTTGCGGAATCATCACAAATCACAGCTTTTATTTTAAAAATAATTTTTTTGCCACCAATAAACAAGTGATTTTCCTGTAAGTCGCAAATTTTTTCAACGAGTTTTTCTAGAAACTGACTTATATCATGAGGTTTCTGTTTGCCTTTACCAACAGGAAACACCTTTATTTTCCTAATATTAAAAACTTTAATTAATATTGGCAAAAGTTGCAGATCTGAACTTTTAAAGATAGGTAAACCATTAATATTAATGTCGAAAATTATTTCTTCATATTTTTGTAAAACTTATGCAGCCTTCATTAATTTTTTTTTATGCCGAAATGTTGATATTCGCTAGGAGGGACAGAAATTATATCTGCCCTCGAACTAACGTTTTGCACCAGTGTCGTTGGAGAAAGAGGCACATCCACACCATAACTTTTTAAAATTATTAGCAGTTTTCTCATGTTTTGGTAGGATGTTCGGCTATTTAACTGTCATTGCCATAAAGAACTTATAAATTGGTTTCTTTTGTCAAATTTCTCATTTGCATTGTAATCATCATTTTCTGTTTCTTCTATTTCAACCATTGCAGAATCTGTTTTTTCATTTTTGTCTACTTCAAAATTTTCTTTTTCTACGAACTATATTACATAAAAATATTTATATATTTTTATAAGTTATTATTTTTTACGTTTTAATCTGTTTCTTGTGTTTACACACTCTTTTCTTTGCCTTTTAACACCACGCAAAACGATTAAACTACCGCACAATGCTTCCAGAAACTAACTAAAAAACAGTATCAAATTTGTGCCCAAAAAAAAAAACAAAACAAAACAAAAAACTCGTGCCTTCAAAAAAACTAACGCTTGCGCAAAACAACAACTTTATGAGCAATCGATAAAAAACGAACGCTTGCCGTTATTTTTCTTAACCAAAAAATTCTTGATTGACAATGACATGGTCCGTGACTGCATTACATAGGACAATGTTGTAACTAGTCCACAGCTGCTAAAATCGATCAAGCAGTATATACTTATTTTCAGGGGTAATGCATGCACTTAGAAAATATAGACACTGGAAAATTATTTTTTTATATAGATGGCTCTCAGTCAACATGCTGGTTTACGCGGAAAAAACACATTTCGAAAACACATTGCATCGTATATCAAGAATTTTACTTGATTATTCTCGCATTTTTTGATGTCATCACATAATGTTTGCTTTTCATATTTTCTGGATCAATTTTCAACAGACAAATATCCTAAAGTTTATGCTATTTTTAACATTAGAGAATTGAGAGAATTCAATATCCTCACTCATATAATAATTTGGAATTTTTTTCAATAAATCGAGTGTTTGTTGTAAACATGTTTTAAATTGAGTTGTACGGGTTCGGTAAAGTAGGGGTATGACTATGGATTTATGAAACAAAATTTTCATTTTGATCTTGATCTGGAGTTTATACGGTATAAGGAAGGAAGTGTGGGCTCACTGTGATGACAACATATTAGCATGTTCCAATCGCCATGGATAAAACAGATTTTCGGTATATTTTCCTGAAGCTATGGATAATCTGTACCGTTTCCAATCGTCCCGCTAATTTCTCATTTTATCTTAACAATGACAAAGAAAAACAATTAAAAAAACCGTAAGTTAGGCCGGGCCGAATATTGAATATCCTCCACAAATTGGAACGAATTTGGCAATTTTTAAAAATAAAATACGTTAAAAAAATATGTTTAAATCTTAAAAATACCGAATGTAGCCGTTATATTATGGTCTATACGACGACGTGGACCTGCTTAGGAAACTTTTGCCATAAACCATTACAGCATTCCAATGCGAAACTTAAAAATAACTTCGGTGAATAATGTAGGTAAAATCATCAAAATACCGAATACCATATATGGGGGCGATACCAAATCGTTGACCTGCACAGACAATCTTCTGTCTTAGGCTGTAGCAACCACTACGAACTTCAAATACCAAAATTTGAAACAATTCCGGTGAATAATGTCGCTAAAATCATCAAAACACCGAATACCGGGAGGTGCCGTTATATGGGGCTATACGATATCGTGGACCTGCACAGACAATTTTCTGTCTTAGGCTTTAGTGTCCATTACGAACTTCAAATAACAAATTTAAAATAATTCCGGTGAATAATGTAGCTAAAATCATCAATATACCAAATATCGGGAGGTACCGTTATATGGAGCTATACGAAGACGTGGATCTGCACAGACAATTTGCCGTCATAGATCGTAGTATTCCTTACAAATTTTAAATACCAAATTTGAAACAATTCCATTGAATAATGTCGCTAAAATCATCAAAACACCGAATATCGGGAGGTGCCGTTATGTGGGGCTATACGAAGACGTGGACCTGCACATACAATATTCTGTCATAGGCTGTAATATACATTACGAACTTCAAATACCAAATTTGAAGCAATGAATAATATCGCTAAAATCATCAAAATACATTTGAGCAAAATTTTATCAACCTACTTTATTTCGTTAGGAAGCTGGAGTGATAGAATTTATGCTGGTCAAGAATATATATGCTTTGTGGGGTCTTAAATGTATATTTAGAGGTGTTCCAAACTGAATAACAAACCTTATATACCCTCCATACTATGGTGGAGGGTATAATTACTGATATAGTAACCAAGAAGAACAGAAAATTAACAATAACAATCGTGAAACAAATAAATGATTCAATGGTAAGGTAATAGACAAATCAAGATAAACAAGTTTAAAAGCTGTAAGTTCGGCTGGGCCGATCTTTGAATACCCTTCACCATTTGAAACGATTTTGGCAATTTTCAAAAAAATAAAATCCGTTAAAAAATTTTGTTTACAGCTTAAAAGTACCGAATGTAGCCGTCATATTAGGGACTATATGACGACGTGTACCTGCCTAGGCAATTTTTGTCATAAACCATTACAATACTCAAATGCGAAACTTGAATAAAAAAATTCGGTAAATAATGTACCTAAAATCATCAAAATACCGAATATCGGAAGGTACTGTTATATGGGGGATATACGAAGACGTGGACCTGCACAGACAATTTTCTGTCATAGGTTGAAGTACACATTACGAATTTCAAATACCAACTTTGAAACATTTCTGGTGAATAATGTCGCTTATTCACCAAAATACCGAAAAAAATTGTGGTTTCATTATAAGAGGCTATACCAAAATGTGGACCTACATGACCCATTTTCAATACCAAAAGTCCTGCAGACATAATACACATTTGAGTAAAATTTTATCAACTTTGTTCATTTCGTTCGGAAGCTAGACTGATTTCCACAGAGCGACGGAAATCGCAGATATTATTTCTGGCAGTACTTTCGGATGTGAAAAATAACATAAAATCCTTTACTCAATTGAATTAGCCGAGGTTAGAAAAACCAGTAGGAACGCAGACATTTTGATCAGTTACGTCTGCCTTTCAACTGTGAACATCAAAAGTAATGCGCAAAGTATTTTGTATTTTGATGTGTATAATGCGGGCTACATAAACCTATAAATTTGCCAACGATCACACTGAACTTAGGTTAGGTTGAAAAGGGGGGCGAAGCAATTCGCCGCATACCCTGTTGGGCATATACTCAAGCCGGTATAGGCCTTTTGTGCGCTCTAGACTAAGGCTTTTGTGAAGAAGGCGGGCAGTTTACAGTCTGTTATATTTGAATTTAAGTTGCCTTTATGAAATTTCTTAACTGTCTTATATCATTTACCATGGTCTGATTAAGGTCTGGTGTGGAGTCGTGAATTGGGATCTGAAATTAGCACACGCTGGGCATTGGCAGAGAAAATGTTCCAATGTTTCGCCTTTCCCACATCCTATCTTGTACAGATGAGCTTGTAGGCCCAGGTGCCCCGTGAGGTTGCCTGTTACCTCACTAATAACAGGTTTTTCGTTTTTATCTCATCTTGATCGACCCATAAGATTTTGTGGTTTTCCCTACACCCTCATTGTTTCATAGGGATATATGGGCGTTTTTTGCCCATGTCTTTAACGCTAGACGTGATGCATTAAGCGGCACTGGATTGTCTCCGCTTATTGTTGCTAATTCCCTGCCTGTTTTGGCGAGAGAGTTTGCTATCTCGTTACCCCTAACTCCCGTATGACCTGGTACCCATATAATGCGTACTACGCCGTGTTGAGAGTAGTTGTTGATTGAATTTATACATACCAAAACGGTTTTTGAAGTTACTGTTTTGGATGTTATAGCCATTATAGCTGACTTGCTGTCCGTTAGGACGTTTACGGTAGCCGGTCTTGTGTTGGCATTAAGCCAGTTGAGGCACTCTGCAATCGCCCGGACCTCCGCTTGTAGGATCGTATTGTGATCGGACACGCGGAAAGAGATTTTGGTGTTCGTATCCTCGATAAAAAGTCCCAGTCCCGCTCTCTCCCTAGGCATTGAGCCGTCTGTTTAACAACAGTTTCCAGTCGGCATTTGTGGTAGGAATTCGTCGATCCACGAGTCTCTGGTAGGGATTAATGTTTCACATGAGGCAGCTACAAAAGTTTCAGATATCCGGTCCGATACAAAATTTTCTATAGATTCTCCCGTTGTTACCTGTAAAATTGTTTGATGGTATGTAGCGTGGTCTTTGCTTATCCACTCGTTCGTCGCCCTAAGCGGCTTCATACCGTATCTGAATATATATTGGGTTCACAAATATAATTGTCTCTAATGCCCTAGTTGGTGTTGTCCTCATTGCGCCCCAAATATTTAAACAGCACATTCGTTGGACTTTCTGTAGTATTTTGATATTAAATTTTTTATGTAGTTTTTATGTTTATGCTGTCCACCAGACTAACGATGCGTATGTTATAACAGGTCTTATTACGCTTTTGAATAGCCAGTGTGTCATCTTTGGATTGAAACCCCATTTAGAGCCTATAGCCCTTTTACATGTTGCCCAACATCTATGAGCTTTGTTTGCTCCTTCTTGGATGTGGTCCCTCCAATTAAGTTTCCTATCTAGAATCACACCCAGATATTTAACCTTATTGGAAATATTGATCGTCTTGTTCAGGAAGACCGGTTCAACGATATTGCCCAGTTTTCTTTTCCTAGTGAACATAGACATATCTCAGTTTTTTCCGGGTTAACGTTAAGACCTCCCGGTCTGGCCCAAGTGTATGCAAGTTTCGGAGCCGACTCGGCCCTTCTGCACAGCAAGTTAGGGTTCTTTCCCCTCAGAAGTATTATAACGTCGTCTGCATAACAGACTGGTTCAAAGCTTTCATTGGTTAATGTCCTTAGAAGACTGTTAATGGTAGTAAACCACAGGAGGGGTGATAATATCCCTCCCTGTGGAGTTCCTTGACCAACTTTGTTCCTTATTTTAACGTTATATAGCCCACAGCTTATCCCTCTATTCATTAGCATGTGGTTTATCCAGTGTCTTAGGCCCCGGTCGACCTTATCTAAGGATTGCACGGGTGTATCTGTGCCGACATTGTTGAACGCACTTTCGATGTCAATGCATACTGCTAGTGTATACATCTTCTTACCGAAGGTGCTCTCGATGTGGTGTACAACCTCATGTAATGCGGTTTCCAATGAACGTCCTTTAACGTATACATGCTCCTTTTATTTGAGAATATCGTGTGCAATTCTGCTGTTGGTGTCGATTGTACGTTCCATGGTTTTGAGTGAGAATGATGTTAGACTTATCGGTCGATAAGACTTGGGTATTGTGTAGTTTGGCTTCCCAGGTTTGGGTATAAAAACTAACCTGGATTCCTGCCAGGCTTAAGGGGTATACGCAAACTTTAGGCACGAGTTGAAAATTCCGGCTAAATTGGACGAGATAATGTCCACTTCCTTTTGGAGCAGAGCCGGGAAGACCATATCTGGTCCTGCTGCCTTAAACGGTTTGAAACTTCTGACGGCTTCCTTTACCATAGATTCATCAATTTTAGGTGCATCCTCAGTCGCAACCATATCATCCACCATTGTCTCGGCTTGTGTATGGGTTTTTGAAAGAAACTTTTTTATTTTTGAGACATCATTCACGCTATCAACCTATTCGAAGAAAATCTTCCAGGTTCTTCGTTTAACTGTTCTTACTATTTTGTTGTGTTCTTTAAGTTTGTTATGGTAGCTGTCCCAGAATACTGCTGGTTTCTCTTTTTCTTTGTTACGAATTTCCCCTGTCATCCAGCGTTTTTCGTAGGCAGATTTCCTCTCCCGATGTGAACAATCTCTGTTGTAAAGCCTTCTGACTTCTTTTTCTTTGTTACGAATTTCCCCTGCCATCCAGGGTTTTTCGTAGGCAGATTTCCTCTCTCGAAGTGGACAGCATTCCTCGAAAGACTTTACAAGGGTCTCCGTTAACCTATTGACATCTCTGTCTACGTCGTCTGTGCTTAGACATTCAATTTCCTGCCCTAGCTTCTCTTTTACTAGTCTCCTATACTTCATCCAGTCAGTCTGGGATTTGTTCCGGAAACGTATTGGGTTCGGCGGGAGCCGTGTTAGTTCAAGCCTTATATACATATGATCCGAGAAAAGGTGTTCTTTCGAAACCCTCCAATTCTGAATCTCGTTTATAAGATTTCCTGAACAAAAGGTAATGTCTAAAACCTCCGCTCTAATTTTGTTTACAAAGAATTATTAGGTCGTTAGTATTTAGAAAATCTGGTAGGGACTGGACACTTTTATTAATGTTAGTACTACCCCACGCAATGTGGTGAGAGTTAGCATCGCCACATACAAGTACTTCGTTACCAGTTTGTTATGTTTTGCTCACAAGCCGCTGCAGTTCCGATGAAGGTGGTAATGTCGGCGCGTCGAACGGTAGGTATACTGACGCTAGGTATATGTTTCCATTCCCCTGCCTAAGCACTGTTGCGTCCGATATTGACAACTCTGGTGAGAAAAGTAAACATAAGTTTTTGTGACATTTATACAAGTTCTCGGTCAAGACCCTGTTTTGGCATAGAATAGTTAGTAGTTATTATGGTTTTGTCCAGAGACTTTGTTCTGAACTGTCCAAGGTTCCTGAATAAAACCGTGAATCTTACCTGAATTTATTAGTTTCATCAGAGTCAAGGTTGCCGTCCCGCTCCGATGAAGGTGGATTTGGAAGATCTCGATCATTGGTCCTCCAGTATACGGGCTTGTTGAGAGACGGTAATTTTGTCACCGACACCCTCCTTTTGTGTTGCTTGAGGGGTCATCTTTCTCCTCCTTGCTGCTACACTTCGTATCTTCGTCTCCTTATTATTTTTGAACCTGACAGCGTTCGAGACATAAAATGTCATGCCCTTAGTTTTTGTCAGACTGGCCATGGAGAGATCGTCAACTCCAATCACATCCTCCTTCTCCTCCCTGTGAAAAAACCCTTTGGAACATCCTGCGCCTTATCATTTTTGCTGTTTTGTTGTCTTTTGAGCTTTCGCCGTTGGGCCCAGACAGCTTCGCTGTCGCTCACTTCTTCTATCGTGTTGTGCGCCTCTTCCTTAGTAGGGATTCGCAGGACGATAGTTTTGTTGCTGCTGCTGTCGGACTCGGAACCTGAGGCGCTACCTGTCGTTGAAGGCTGGGCCGAGCGTATGCTTCCCCTGAGTTCCTCAGACCCTTTGTCTGGTTTGTTGCCCGGAGGCTGCGTGCTTGTAGCAATACCTTCGACCGCAGATGCCAAGGCACTCACATCTGCGGGAGAAATTTGCACACGATCGTTGGATGACGACAGGGTGTGACTCGTGGTTGGATCACAAACACCCGTCGGTACTGGGTTATTTGGCCCTGCACCGTAACTTTTTCTTTCTTT